GTGGGTAATTGGCAAGAACTTCTTTAAAACGGATTCCATTCAATAATGTGCCTTAAAAAAAAAAAAAAAAAAAAAAAGCTAAACCTAAAGCTGAGCATCAAGTAATTACACTCTCAATCTTTCCAATTGCACAGTGTTTTGAAAATGTCACAAATTACAACCAAATGCTGCTAAAGCATATTTTATTGGTGGTTTTCTGGACCCCAGTAAAGGTGCTGGCCATAGAGAGAAAAGGGGAAAAAAAGATTTCATATTTTTTCTGTGGAACAAATGTAAGCAGAGTATATAGACAAAATCTAGATGGCAACCATTGAAACATGTATTTAATAACCTTGGTCTTTGGTTTCTTTTTGGGTGGTGGAGGAGGAAGAGAATCAATGTATGGTCATAAAACACGAACATTGTTATGGAAAAGACTTACTAAAGCAGCAAATTTTCACAAGGCACAAACAAGTCACCCAAGGGGTGATATACCAAGAGATAAGGGTGTGACCCCTCACAAATGCATGGGGTTATTAAGGACTGATCCAACCACATGGTAAGTGGCATGGGCCTTCTCAATCCTCACTTCTGCTCCTGGCCAGGATCCATTGGGTAATAGCCTGGATGGGGATTTGTGTAGATGTTCCAACCTCTGTCACCTGGAGCCCTTGTAAACAATGGTTCAGAACCATTCACCCACTGATTCCCTCACTTGACACAACACCCTTGTAAACTATGGTTCAGAACTATTCATCCATTGATTCCCTCACTTGACACAACACCCTTGTAAACAATGGCTCAGAACCATTCATCCACTGATTCCCTCAGTTGACACACTTTGTTGTGTCATCCCCTGTGTTTGATGATGGGAATACAGATGTTGGGCATTTAAGGCAGTTTGGGAAGCCCTTCTATCACAGGTGAGTGACAGAACAAATAAACCACTTCAACTAATAGAATGTAAGTATTTGCTATAGTCTGAATGTGCCCCAAAATTGATGTGCTGAAACTCAATCCCCAATATTGTGGTATTGGGAGGTGAGGCCTTTTGGGAAATGATTGCATCATGAGGGCTCCACCTTCACGAATGGATTAGCACTGCTATACAATGGCTAGAGGGAGCCAGCCGAGGCCCTTTTTTCCTTCTGGCTTTCACCACATGAGGACACAGCAACAAGGCACCATCTTGGAAGCAGAGAACAGACCCTCACCAGACACCAAACCTGTCAGCACCTTGATCTTGAACTTCTCAGCCTCCAGAACTGTGAGAAATAAATGTCTTATTTATAAATTATTCAGTCTCAAGTATTTCTGTTATAGCAGCACAAATGAACTAAGAAAGTAGTATTCACAAAAAAACCTCATAAGACACACACGTTGCTAACTGGTACCTATAGGTTCATCTAACTATAAATATGTTTCCTTTAGCTACATACTGATTTGTTTTAAAATCGGAATTGCAGAGGAAAATATGAAATCCAACCTCAAATGCACATGTTCCAAGAACAAAAACCCTGTCCATCTATGCATGCCTGGTTCTGAGCAGTCCAGTTGAGACTTGACTGGTGTTCATTTATCAACTCTGCTTAAGTAGGCAAGCAGTTAACAGGTACCAGAAGTTTAAGGAAAGTGAGAAAGAAAATAGGATTTTCTCAATTTTAACTTTGTTAGTAGGGAAGTCAGCCATTATATTAGTCAGTTCTTGCACTGCTATAAAGAAATGCCTGAGATTGGGTAATCTATAAAGAAAAGCAGTTGAACTGGCTCATGGTTCTACAGGATGTACGGGAAGCATGGTAGCATCTGTTTCTGGGGAGGCCTCAGGGAGTTTTACTCATGGTGAAAGGCAAAGCATGAGAAGACATCTTACACGGCAGGAGCAGGACAGAGAGAGTGAGTCGGGAGGTGGGGAGGTGCCACACGCTTTTAAACAATCCTAGGAGAACTCACTCACTATACAGTACTAAGGGGGTAAGGGGGGGTGCTAAACCATTAGAAATCAGCCCCATTATACAATCACCTCTCACCAGGCCCCACCTCCAACACTGAGGATTACAATTTGACATGAGATTTGGTGGGGGCAGAGATCCAAACCCTGTCAGCCATGATTCAGTTTAAGCTGTGGAATATTCACTCTTCTGTAGTTTGAAGAGGACAGCCTGAGATGTAGCTATATGGACAAAGGGAGAGACAGGGGAAACTGGCAGTGAAAGAGATTAAAGAGTACTGGTGGGGTGTGGTGGAGTGCGTGCATGCAAGTGTTTGTGTGTGTGTGTGTGTGTGTGTGTTGAGTGGTAAGTAGTTTCCTGGGGATAAGTAGGGAGGACTTCTCTTTAAATACTACATGTAGACCTCCTCCATCCTTGACAACCCCCAAGACAAGCAAGGAGCATTTTTCACTCGCAGACCTCTCCCTGCACCTAGGGAAAGGTGGAAGACAAGGAACTGAACTGACAGGCAGGAGCTCTGAAGAGTCTCTCCCTATACTAAGATTCATAAACCAACAGGGCACACAAAGACAGTGTAGAGGAGAGGTGAGTCCGCCATTGGATATGCCCTATCAGAGTCCCCTATCCCCTCCACCAATGGTGGAAAGCGCTTACTGCAGTTTCATTCCTCTATCCCACTTGCTCAATGTCTGTGGTGCCTTATTTCTGGTCTTCTTGTAAACACTGGATTAAAAGGGAGAAGAATGCATTCAGTAGAGGCAAAAGTGCCCCCCAACACCCTGCCCATGGTCATACACCTGGTTGTATGGACTCCTCTGTAAAGCACCTGTGTAGTGCCTGCTGTGAGAGGGTAATTGGCAAAGAAAAAGACAAACAGATCCCTGCCCCCTGGAGCTTACAGCCTGGCCATTATAGGAAGCATTAAAAGTACACAATGAATGACAAGACAGGGGAGTGCAAGGCACCCATACAGCATCCAGTCTGACACAGGCAAGGGCTCAGAATGTGATCTTTCAGCTGCTAGCTGAAAGGGTACGTGCTCGATCAAGGAAGCAGAAGGATTCTATGTAGAAGACATCACATGTGCTAAACAAATGCCCTGAAGCAGAAAAGAAATGTAGGAAGGGACCTGAAAGAAGGCCCTGAGGCTGGAGCAGATGGGCTTAGACATCAGGACCTCCAAGGCATCAGAGGAGGCAGTCAAGGTTTGGGTTTTTATCATAATAGGATCATATGATTTGATAAAATAATGATTTTATCAAATGATTATCTGAGGAGTTTCATACACAGGAGAGGTCAGATCAGATGGCCATGTTTAGAAGACTGCTCTGCTCCCTTTCTGTGGAAAATGGGTAAGAGCTGACAAGACTGGATATATGCTCAGGTGTGTGCCCAGGTATAGACATGCAGAAAACAGGATTACGGCTTTGCCAGGAGGAAATAGCAAAAGGGCTGAAGAGAGAGGGAGTCTTGGCTATCAGTAGCAGATGGGCTCCAAAGATAGGCCATGGAGTAGACTCCGTGGGCGGGGGACAGACACAGGAGGGGCTGGTGCTAAGAGGGAGGGTTGAGATGTCAATGGACTGGAGGTCCCAACAGGGCCAAGGACTAGCATGGTGGGAGGAGATAAGAGGACAAGCCCAGAGGACAGGATGCCAATGTGCACAAAGGCTTCAGAAGTGGGGCCATTTCGGGGTATGATAACATTCAGAATATTAATCAGTTTTTGTACTGCTGACAAAAGGTGGCTTGACCAAAAGTAGCCATGGGTGAGTGTTAGAGGAGGAAGCTAAAGAAAATAAAAGGGCAGAGCTCAGATTGCTGAAGAGGCCCATGCCAATCCAGTCCTCAGTTCCTGGAAGACTCAGAGAAACTCAACTAGGCACAGGGTCCTCCAGGATGACAGAATTAGAGGCCCTTCTAGGAGCTCACATCCCTCCAACCTCACTACCTCCACCACCATCTTCACCCTAAATGCTTGGCTTGACTAAAGAAAAGTGGCCCCCTCTCTTCACAGCATTGAGAGGTCTGTGAACTGTTTAGCATGTCCTCCTAGGGCAAAGGTGGGTATCATAAGCATGAGTTATTGATGACAAACCTGGTCTCCAGTCTCATGGTCTCAGTCTTTGCAGCTGAGCTCCATAGAGTGGCTGTCTGCTAGCACAACACATATGACCACATATCCTGTCTCTCCGCTAGGCCAGAAAGTCAAGGGCAGGCCATTATGCTTCCTTCAGTTTCTAGGACCACACCTCGTAGGTAATATCAATAGATACTCAATAAAGAAAGAAGCAATCCTGTTTATATAAAGTTCAAAACTGGCAAAACTAATTTAAGGTAAGGTATTAAAGGTTAAAATAACGGTTACATTCTCGTTGGGGAGGGTGACAGAAATGGGGTAGTAATGTTATATTTCTTGATCTGGGTACTGTTTACATGGATTTGTTCAGTGCAAATTTATTGATCTGTATAATTATAAATTGTATACTTTTCCATATGCATGTTATGTTTTGATATATTTTTTAAACACCTGAATGATATATTTTTTAAACACGTGAATGAATCACTTAATCAGTGGTAGAAACTAACTTAGCTTGAACTTGAAATGCTTCCCCCAATATAGGATTCAAACTGCAAGCTAAGGCAGGGGTTGGCAGATATTCTGTATAAGAGCCAGGTATTAAGTATCTTATGCCTCACAGAATGTGGTGTCTCTGTCAACAACTACTCAACTTTGCTACTATAGTGCAAAAAGTAGCCATTGATACTGTGTAAGTGAATGAATATGGCTGTGTTCTAATAAAACATGAACACTGAATTTTGAATTTTATATCATTTTTACAGTCCTCAAATGATAGCCTTTTGATTTGTTTTTCAATTATTAAAAAAAAATGTTTAACCTTTCTTAGCTTTCTAGCTATACAAAAACAGGCTGCTGGCCAGATCTGGTCCGTAGGAAGTAGTCTGCCAACTCTTGCACTAAGTAACTTTGCACATTAAACATGTTTCCTGGCCCGCACACAGGCTCAGCCTGTCCTTCCCCCAATCTGCCCCTCTGTGCTTTCCCACCTTTATAAGTAGGCAAATACTCCATCTTGTTGCTATATGGATATTTATTGTCCCGAGGTTTGATGGGGTCCACTCGACAGACAGTGTAGGGATTGTAATCTTTCTTATACGTCGTGAGCAAATCCATATTCTCTTCACTTGGGACGAACTGGTCATACTGGTGGGCCTTCACTGGTGCCACTTTGTGAGGCCCAAAATCTCTCCTGTAAGGAAGCAAGTGCACGCTGTTGGGGTCCTTGGCTTGCAATAAGGCTTATGTTTTCTGCTCAACCCAACTCTATAAACATTTGCTGAGAAGTCATGTTCTACTCTACCTGCCTTCCCCGCTCCCCTGAACTGTTTCTCCTCTATTTCCCACCTTTGGGAAGGGTACCATCAATTATGTCTCACCCAACTCAGACACCTGTACACATCTTTGACCTCCTTTCCTCACGGCCCCAGAGCCTATCATTCACCAATGCCCCTCCACCCCATTGGTTTTTCTTTCCCCTTGGTCCAGACCCTGACCATTTCTCACTTGGATCAGGTAACAGCCTGCCACCTGAGCTTCCTCCTTCATCCCTACCACTTCTATTCAATCCCCATAATGTGGCCAGAATAAACTCTCTAAATAGAAATCAGATGGCTTTCCCCAGTTTAAAACTCTTCCAGGCAAAATTCAACTTCCTAGCATAATTTATAAGCCTTTCTGGACCTGGCTCCTGCCTTACTCACCCTTGTCTCTCACTATCCCCACCCCACCTGAGCACCCTGCACTCCAACCACAATGTCACTACTTCTACTCCTGCGCTCTCCACCTTCCTTCCACCCAACCCCTTCATTGTGGAGCTAACTTCCTTTCAGGTGCCTCCACCACCTTCTCTGTGTTCCCAAAAGCTTCTCCTGCTAATGTTTATCTCCTTCTTCTGCTTAGCCTACAGAAAACCCAGAAGAGGAAAATAGCGAAATAATTGGAGACCCTAAGTCCTTCATTTCTCTGCTATCTGGTGTCAGCGCCCCCATTATTTCAGGGAGTACCAAAACAACAGGATCGAAAAAGTATAATGGTCTTTGCTAAACAGGAAGCAGTCCCTCCCCAAAGTATCCCAGAAAAAAAGGCCCAGATGCTCACTGCAATGCCCACCAGGAACCGCCCTAAGGAGCCAGGGCTTAGCTCAGACTTGTGTGCCCTCCAGGGCACTTGCAACTTCCCACCTCTCAATGCTAACATTTCCCTCTGAAGGGTGTCTGCTTCACACAACGAACTGTTTTTGCCTGGAACCCATTTATTCAACCGGACAAAGGGAGGTTAGATTTTCCCTGATGGTGCTTGCCAGAACAGCCCTGTCAAGGGAAGGGGAAGGTTTCCGGACAGGAAAACATTAGGCTCAAACACCAATAAAACCCACTTCCCGGCCAAAATCTGGAGCAGCATTACTGAGCCATGCTTGACTAGCAAAGGTAACACGCTCCACTGTAACCTGTCTTGCGTGAATTATACACATGATTGTCAGTAAACCCGAACCGGGTCCTGAAAATGCTTGGTGGGATGGGAGGAGGAAGTTAGGAAGCAGGAGAATTAGTCTCTCTAGGGCTCTAAGGAGGAAATGGGAGATGCTTCAGTTGAACTCCCCTAACACCCTCTGGGTAGATTTAAAAATATATCTTAGCAGCAGTTATAGGACATTCAGCCTGGACTTCCTTCGTAGGGGCCCTGCTGTTAGCCTGAAGTGTCTGGAAGCTGACTGTGTATATCGGGGCTTATGGAGGGAATGGACTTAACAAGAAGCCAAAGGTCAGCTCCTATTTCTACTGTTCTCAATGAACAAGTACTACACCCTGGTGTCTATTCAGCACTAAACCAATTGTAACAGGGAACTAAGAGGGTAAGTCCTTAGGCTACAAAGACAAAACGGAAATGCCCAGAAAACTCCATCTGAAAACCAGCTGAGTGGAAAGGGACTCTTGGTCAGAGAGTGTACATTCTAAAGGGAGTACTCCCAAGAGAAGTTGAGCTCTCCTCACTCCCAGAAGGGATGGACAGATTTCAAGGCAGCCTGAGACCACACATTCCTAAACCCTTATAAAAGCCTGTGTTCAGTGATGGCTACCTAAGCCTGCACCCTATTCATTTCCAGGGAGTATCAGGAGGTACCAAGGGCAAGCAATGAGGAACAAAGCTGGGTGCCTATGGGTGCCTGAGCTGCTGCACTGAGCCCACCCAACCTCAAAGCACCTAGGAATGCTTTCCAGCTGTAAGCCTGCCACTCTCGGGGACCCTGCACCCAGAGTCGATGGCAGGCTCTTCTTCAGTTACTCTGACCAAGAGGACCAGCTTCCTCTCAGGGATGCCGCAAAAACCTCCCTTCAAAGGCTGCCAGCCTCTTGAAAACTAAAGCACATTTACTGCCCATCTCCCACGGCTTCTACTGGAAAAGAGCAGACAAAAGCCCACAACCAAATTCACCAGTTCACAGACCATTCTGAAATTGGTTTCCCGAAGACAAAAGCCAATCATCTTTTCCAGTAGAAAATTTAAGTTCCTTTCTAAGTATTCCTCTATGGTTTAATTTATTGATCAGCTATAACTAAGGCAAATGACTACGGGGGGGTGGGAGGAGGCAATATCTACTTCTTAAGAGAAGAAAAATTTTAAAGTTTGACTTTTTTATAACCTACCTAAACATAGTTACTGTGGCTTAGGAGTGAATTTAATCAGAATTTATGTGTTTCCTCATTATGTTTTTATGTTGAGAACATTCACTGAAACCTGTCATTAACCACAACATAACTGCGTGTCCCCAATCACACATAATCTTATAGCTTTTAAATTCATGTAAAAGAAAAGTCTATATTTTAGTCTTCCCAGAATTGCTCAAACTAACTAGCTTTTCTTTTTAAGAACACTGGATCTCCCCTCTCTTTCTGTGGTACATTTCCCAGTCTCTGTGCACATGTGACGGGAACCAAGAAAAAGAAACTGGTGAGAGAAGTAAGTTTCTTTTTGGTAAGTAGCTATAAAAGTTATAGAGTAGGGAAGGCCAAGAGTTAAACTCAGAGTTAAGTGAAAGGTTGGAGTGGTCCTGCTGGGGAAGTCATAACAACTTGACTTCAAATCATTTGGCAAAGCTGAAGAAAGGTGTTTGACAAGACTCCGACAAAAGGAAAGAGGAAATAACCTAACAGTGAGCTAGGGTCCCGAGCCTGCAGTGGGAAATGAAGATTTTCACCATGACAAAAGGGCCATGCATCACATTTTTTAAACCTGTTTTTAATGCTTATTTATGCAAACTTCAAGATTTGTTAGTGTATCCAAGTAATCAATTATATTAAAATGGAATCCATCTTAAAAGGAGTTCCTCCTCTTGGCCAAAGCCAACCTCTCTCACCCCTGCCCTCTTTCTCGGGAACCTCATCTATAGACCATCTCCTAGGCCATGCTTTTCTCTCTTCCTCCCTACTGCCTCCTTTCTCCACTGAGTGTTATCTCCCATCTTTAAAGGTAAAGAGCAAAATAAGACACAATCCTCACTGGGCTCCATTCTCCTCCGGTTTTCCCTTCTCTCTTCCGGAAAGTGTTGTCTATAAGTACAGACTTGCCTTCCTTTCCTCATGCCCCATCCATCAAATCTGATTCCCCTCACTCCTGGATACTCCAAGCATCACTTGTTTTCCAGACCCAACCTCTGCTTCTCATCCTTATCCCACTGTGCTTGTTCAAAGCTTCCATCCTCTCACTCAGTTTTTCAATTATCTCTCCCTTGACTTCTGCGATACCACTCCTCATGATCTTTTCTCCATCTCCTCTATAGGGTTCTGCTCTTTGTCAGTTGATTTGATATTGTCACTTCTACAGGTAATTCTCAAACTTCCCAATGTCAAAAGGCACTCTTCTAGAGAAACTATTCTCCCATCCTAGGCAGCTTGGGGAGTCCATCCCAATGTGCTGCAAAAGATCCTTGGCTGAATCACAGGGCTTGATTCATGCCCCTGGTCCTTATGGGACACAGAGTCTGCCTTACCTTCACTATAACAGATGGGATTCCAAGCCCATGCACTCCAGCATCCAAGTTACATAGCACCTGTCTTCTCCTCTGCCCTCTAGGCCCCTCAACTCCCACTAAGGCTGAGGCAAATATCTGTCACCACTTCATATAAACTCTAGCCAAACTATTTCAAATGACTTTAAAGCTCTAAAAAAGTGGATTCTGGGAACAGCCAACAGGTGGAAGCAGAAAATGGCACTGTTTGAGGCTTCATTGCTTAATTTTCCATTAACTATTTAAGATTCAAAGCTTCTAGCCTAAAGGTCAGCTCCACTCTGTGCCAGGCAGGGCAACTAAAAGGCAGATCTCTATTGATTATCTTTTCTTGACTACAAAACCAGAGGGCCGGCTGGGCATGGTGGCTCATGCCTGTAATCCCAGCACTTTGGGAGACCAAGGCAGGCGCATCACCTGAGGTCAGGAGTATAAGACCAGCCTGACCAACATGGAGAAACTCCATCTCTACTAAAAATACAAAATTAGCCAGATGTGGTGGCACACACCTGTAATTCCAGCTACTTAGGAGGCTGAGGCAGGAGAATCGCTTGAACCCAGGAGGCGGAGGTTGCGGTGAGCCCAGACGGTGCCACTGCATTCCAGCCTGGGCAATGAGAGTGAAAATCCATCTCATAAAAAAAAAAAAAGAGGACCAAGTTTGAGGCAACCACAGTTGCTGGAAAATGGTAAAGAAACCTGGAAATGAGAGAGTCAAAGACAGGAAGCCCTAAATTCTGTACATAAACTGGGCCCAAATCTCTGCATGACCTCACATATATGGGGAAGATTTCAAGCTAAAGAACTGAAGTGAGATTTGAGCTGCCAGCCAAGACACAGAATTTGCATTGTAAATCAAATCAGGTTACCTGACTGCCAAAGATAAAAACACTTTTTAGAGCAATGCATACAAGTATCTAAGGTGTCCACAACATAACAACATTCTCACTGTACAAAAATCAACCCAAAATCTGGCCCATGCTCAAAAAAAAAAAAAAAAAAAAGATAATTATGGAGACCAACTCCAAGCAGACCAGACATTGGAATTAGCTGACACGGGTTTTAAAGTAGCTTTTTAAACCATGCTCAATAAGGAAAGCAAAGTAAGGCCATAATGAATTAAAAGATAGGAAATCAGGTAAAATAAATAGAAACTAGATAAAAACAGAATCAAATGCAAATTCTAAAACTGCAAAATATGTGAAGTAGAACATTCATTGGATGGGCTTAAATCACAAAATGGAGATAAGGGAGAAAAAGTTGGTGAAGTTTAAACTAGATTAATAGAAACTATCCAATCTGAAGAACAGAGGAGGGGAAGAAAAGACTGGGGAAAAGAAATGAATAGATCATCCATGAAGGAAAAATTACGTGAAGAAATAACGGCCAAAATGTCTACAAATTTAATCAGAAATACAGTATAGACAATTCAAAGGCTCTGAGATTGCCCAAGCAAGTCCAGTGCCGAGAACTCTATCTGCATTGTGTTCACACTAATTCTCAGGCCCAGGCTATGGAGGCTAAGTATATGCCCAGTGGTACAGCTCTGAGTAGGAGAGTCAAGTATCTATTTGAACAAAAATATATATATATACAAAATTCAATGGGTAGTGCAAGACTCAAGCCTACTACTAACTCTCTTGTTTCTTTCCTGACCTTTGGAGAGGATACCAAATGCCCTTTCTCTCTTAGCTCTTCCCTCCCTTACTCTCCTTGGTTTACCAAGCAGTCTTGTCAATAAGTGATAGAGTTGAAGCTACCAATCCCCTGCCCTCTGCCTTTCAGCCACACCCATCGAGTCTGAACTCAATTCTATCTCCTCACTCTGTGCCTCCATTCCACTCTACCCATGGTCTCACTCCCTTTAGGATAAAGGTCCAACACCATTGAAGACTCACCTCTTTCTTCCGATGCTGTTCATTTTGCCCATCTTTAGGGAGCTGGCTTAGCTAACAGAATGTCTCAAATTGGGGTCCCAGTGTTTTACATGTCACCATGCTGATGGGGAAATGAGGCTTGAAGTGCAAACCTCTTATTCATAAATTGATCTCAGGTCTATCTCAACTAAAGGCAGATTCTACACCAGAGAATTACCAAGGGCTGCAAGAAAGTTTCACACTAAAAAATGCCTGGAAATCACAAGCATTCCCCTCATGGCACCTGCTGTAAATCCCCAAGATTTATGGTCAGTAAGAGTTGTGTGCAGCTGTAATCATGCCTCACGCTGGGATGATAACCTTTCCAGAAACCAGGTGTTTTTTTTGTGTGTGTGTCTGGGCTTAATCACCAAACTCAGCAAAGCCCTGGACCACATGACTTTTTCGTTCAGCAGGTGGGAGTCTCACGTCCAACCTCAGAAACTAAGCAAGGTCAATGTTTAGATAAAGAAGTGGGTGGGATGTTCCAGTAATAAGAGTTCTAAGAGCAGAGGGGTGACGACAATCCGTGCAGACACAGGGGTGTGCAGACACGGGGCTGCCGCATCCCTTCCCCTGTAAGCCTCCAGGGGAACATCAGATGGTAGCTTCCCTACATTTCCTGACAGTGGCATAATTTTGTTCTCAATCTACGAAAAATAGTGCCCGTCATAGCAGGCACAGGGTTGAGAAATAATGAAATTGTGGTAGAAAAGAGAACACAGATGTCTTCTACTCATTTCCCCCTTACTTCTCTTTTTAGGGTAGGAAATAAAAAGAGATTCATATCTGCTCTTTTTCCTCCCTGTGTATAACCTTGATCCTGCCACTTTTTCTTTTTAAGGCCCTTATGTTCATTAACAGCTTATTTTGGAAATTCTTGCACAGTCTGCTTTCCCCTACTTTAGCCGCACTTGAGGTACATGATATTCATTGTTACTCTGACTCTGGGAGAGGCAGAGGGGCCTTCTGGGTGATATGTTTATTGTTGTAAGTGACACAAGGCAAGGATAATTTAGGATAGGTCAGAGGGTAAGTTTTTGTTTAGCGAAGCACCATCAGGAGGAGGGAGGCTATCTGGAGTTGCATCTGGGGGCCTCAGAGCTAGGTGCTGGGGCAGGGCTTCCGCCCTAGACCAAGGGTTTGTCCTCATTCTCCTAAGCTTTGGGCAGCTAACAAAGCAACCTGCACCAACCAACTTTCAAATCATCCCTGTCTATACTTTCAGAATAGGAACTATATCAATGTCTGAAGCCAACGAGACATCTCACAAAGTGTTCTTCATTTCCTGCAAACTGGATATAAAGAGATAAAAAGACCCACCCCTGGAGATCGAACAAGATATTTGCAAGCCACCCCTCAGTACTACTCTTATCCTTTCCTACTGATTACATGTCCCTTATACAGGTGCCTAGGACTCTTACTCGTTGTTGACCAGGGCTTCCTAAAACAAAAGCAATGCTCAGAAATGGCTCACACTTCTTATTATGGTCTTCAGATTCTCAGAGACAAAGAATACTGTTTTCCTGGCAAAATGAAGCCCAAACTTTAGTGTTCATATTGTTTAATAAATCATAGGTTGAAAAAACAGCTGCATAAACTACAATGTTTTAATACATCAGGACCCAGAAACACTCTGTTTAAACCAAATCATTTAAGATGATTTGGAACACTCTGTTTAACCAGAGTGTTCCAAAACAGAAACACTGTTTAAACCAAATCATTTAAGATAAATGGTTAGAATAAACATAATCATCTGGCCTTAGCAATATAGCAAAACCTTATCTCTACAAAAAGTTTAAGAAATAGTTGGGCATAGTGGCCCATGCCTGTAGTTCCAGCTACTAGGAGACTGAGCGGGGAGGATCACTTGAGCCCAGAAATTCAAGGCTGCACTGAGCGATGCACACCATTGCACTCCAGCCATGGCTACAGAAGGAAACCTTGTTTAAAAAAAAATATTTTTAAAAAGTGGCCTGATTCAACTCAAGCATCAGACAAGGCCCTCAACTCCCTCTCATTCTCAAGCCCCTGTCCAGTGGTTTCCACTAAGCTCAGGAATCCTTTGGCTCCATTTCTCCCATTGTGGGTGCTCCTACCCCATTACCCAGACATGGACTTCCTGTGGATTTAGAAGATGGCAGTGTTGTGTAGAGAAGAGTACCTCCAACTCACAGTCTCAAGAGATGTTTCCAGTCCTATTCTGGAGCAAACCTGAAGGCAGAATGAATTAGAATGGTTCTGCTTCACCTAAACCATCTGGGACCTTTACTAGCACAAAATTATGAACCAAAGGGGAACAATAGGAAGAAAAGTCACCAAGTCTGAGGCACTGATGTGCAAGCACTGTGCTGGAACAGTCAACATTCACCATCATCTCCACCTCACAGCAACCCTGCCCTTTACAGGGATGAAGAACAGGGAAGGCAGAGAACACATCAATCTTTCAGGGCTCAGCTGAGGACAAAACTATACAATCTGAGACTTCCCAACTGCACTCAAAGATGTTTCTGCTCTACTAGATCACCAGTCACAAGTCACTCACTGAGTTGTCCACAGCAGAATCTGCAAGAGCCTTGCCTGTAGAACAACCCTGAACTGACAACTTTTCTGCACCCCCTCAGTACAAACACCTCTGCAACACTAATATACTGAACTGTGTGGCTCAGCCTCCGCACAGAACTAGAGCTAAACAACCTTAGTTTGGGAGTCAATAATAATTTAAAAGGAAAACATTATTTGTTCACATTTCTTGAAGAACATTCAGGAGAACCCCAATTCAAAATTTACAGCATAATCTTAAGGGGAAAAAAAGCTTACTTTTTCTCTATTGCCAAGTTCTCTTTCACCACCACCACCACCACCTGCCACCTACCCAAGCTGGCCTGGAGCTTTTCATGTAACAAAGCCCAAAACTTGCTTTTCAGAAACATCCCCCACTCTTTCCATCCCTTAAATATTTTTCTTAACCTCCAATCCTTTATTATATAAATTAATCCAGCCTTTCCCCACCCTTTACTTCAGCAAGCAAGAATCCTTTCTCTTTAACAGAAAATTTGGAAAAAACTGAGAAGGCTCATAAATGCAGGATTTTCTCTCAGAGACATAGTACATTAAGGCATTAATATTACATGTTGATACTGCATATTAATACATTAGCACTACACATTAATATTATACGTTAGCACAGCATGTTACTACATTAGTGTTGTATGTACCTGCATACATTAACACTGTTTGCCCTCACCTTGATGTAGTCAGGCCTTCCATTGGTATAGACCCTTTCTGGTACTCCCGCCTTGGCTTGAAGGACTCTCTGGGCAGGTAAGAGTGATAGCAAGGGTAGTTCTCGGTATATTCGGAGAGCAGACATGGTTTCTCTGTTTTATCATAAATCTTGGTAGGGAGATGTGGACAGTGATGCCGCCTATAAAAGACATAGAGTTAGGTTGATTACCTTCTTGGGAGAAATAAATTCAGTTTGATAAGAGTACTTCTGCCAAATGTGACTCAGACTGCAAAATCATATGACTGCCAACACTGAAGACCAGAATTCGACCCTTACTTTTTTCCACTAAACTATGTGAAGTGGCCAGAATATAAAGGTGGTCTGTAACTACAATTGGTTAATAAAAATTCCTTGGATCACAGAATTACACACAAGCTGTTACAGATGCCACATTGCTTGTGTAAGCATGGAAATAATTCCATACTATAACAGAGAAATGGCTGTGTCCCCAGGCTCTCCGAGTGCCACCCAGCTGCCTCAGGTCCTCCCCTGAGGTCTCCCAACAGCCCAGGAATTCAGGGCTTACTACTGACCCAACAGGGTGCTCTAAGGCTCTCCAATAGGGCCAGCCAGTGTCTTTTCTAACTGGTTGACTCCTGAGTCAACTCAGAATATCATCAGTGTACACAAATGACATCATTTAAAGCAAAACCACCTTAGTTCTGAGTCCACCAAACACCACCGACTCTGTGAAACCACTTTCACATCGAAAGTCTCCCTCATTCATTCTTTCAGGTCTCACCTCAGTTATTACAGCCTTAGACTTTCCCCAATCATCTTATACCCAGGAACCACCCCGCCGTTGCATCCTGTCTCCCCACCAATCTTCCCTGCGTGTGCATATATTTTCTCCCATCACCCTGCGTGTGCCTGTCCCATCACGTACAGCTACCTGTGATTGGCATGTCTGTTGGCGAGTTTGTTTATTGTCTCATCTGTCACGCTCAGGGCCTTTATCAACCTTGTTCACTGCTACACTGTACATGTACATTGTACATTTTTCAACCTTGTCCACGGTTCATTGTACATGATGTACATCTCTATGTATCATATCCTGAATTTTTCATTCAGTAAATATTTACTGTATACTAGCACATTCAGTAAATATTTATTGAATGAAAGACTGTGTGCATAAGTGAATGATTAAATAAACTTTATGCCTAGGGATGAATTGAACAAATGATAAATAGATAGTATTTAGCAGTTATAATTTATAGTGAGTTTTTCCATTTTACATGCTTGGTAGTAAATGAAACTTACTTACTACCACTTACAGCTGGACTGAGGCAGCTGTTAAAGCTGTCAAAAACTAAGTGAAGGCAGTTAATCAATTTTGTATATGCCCACATACAATCTTCACAATCCAGCTGGGATCCCTCTCATCATCAGGCACCAGCACATCAGCAAAAACTCCATGCTGGTGTTTTCCAACTTAGCTACCTTCAGGAATGGCATAGAATTGTTTTCTCATTTTCACACTGGACTGATTTTTAATCACAGAAACTAAAATGCAATACTTTGGGGGCAGTACATGGGGGAAGGGAGATAAAATCAGAGAAAGAAACCAAGAACTCCCCACTGCTCTAATGTAAAGCTATTTTCCAGGCAACAGCTGGCATGCTGCTCCTGTTAGTAAGTTCAACCTTTTATATAAATATTACTGCCACCACTGTTGTTACTATGTACCTCTCTTCAATCTACTCCCCAGAGAAAAATCATCAACACCTGTACTGTTCATATGGCTAGAATTGCATATTAACAAGTACCATTAGAGATATCCCTACTTATTTTCTTCTCACCTATAGATTTGTTATCAGAAATGCCTTAAGATGGCATGAAATTGCCTCATTTACTTTTTATTTGTATTGTAAAAGCAGTATTGATTCACGGTAAATATTTTAGATATTCCTCATCATTGACAAGGAAATCTTTCACAAATATGCCGTCCTTATAGTATGAATATCTAAATTTCACAATGTTAAATACAATAGGTAAAAGTTTGGTTTTTCTTTTTCAGAATGCACATTCTTGGCATTTAATGTACAAAGCTATGTATTTCTGTTATACACCTTTAATAAAATATCTCCTAATTGTTGGCACATAAATTGAGTGCTTTAAAGTATCTTTTGTACATTCAAGAGATAAATTGTTATGTGTGCATAGTAAACAACCCATCTCCCACAGTAGATACATGTAAAATATTATTGCCATTTCTGTGCTCACAATCAGTCCAACTACCTGAGATCTCAATTTGAGCCAACCAGTACCCTATCTTTTTAGGATTCCTACAAACCTCAAATCAAAAGCCAAGAAGCACTGGCTACCAAAAATACCTCTGCATGTATATTTTATTCACCCACACTCTAAAAGAAAAGTCAAGATTTTATTCAGGATAACTTAGTTTCAGGCACTTACAATAAAACAGGCTCCACAGGCAGAGTGGTATTTTCCCTTTTCAGTGCCCCTGTTTTTTAAACTGGTAAAACTACTTTCATATAACCCCCTTTCCATATTGTTACTTTTAAAAAATGTAACACACTATAAGGATTTATTCCAAAAGAAAAATACATTTAATGGCAAAATACTGCAATATGATCGGCATCATGAAAGGTGATTTCAGTAGAGCAACGAGCTTCTACCCAGACATTGATGTTCCATTAAATGGAATCATATCAACATATTTATAGAGCAGACTTTGACTTATTACTGGTTAACTGAAACCTTGTCTCACTTTGAAATATCAAAAACTCTTATGCAAAAATAAATGTTTCATTGCCTGAGTGTGCTCATGGAGTCATCTCCTTTCCCTACCTGCACCATGAACGCCCTGAATACCCCTCTCAAGATACCCAGCACCATGTCTTCTCACTGGTGATCTACCCAACCCTCATTAACCAGGAATCCCTCAAGGATAAAGATCAAGTCCAACATCTTTTTGTTTTGGAAGCTAGCCAATATTATATATGTATTTAATAGATGGATGAATGGTGTATAAGAGGATGATCTGCTGAAAGAAAGATATCTAGAAGTTATCAAGAAACAGAAAATAATTCGTTCTAACATTAGTAGAGTCAAAAAGGTGAAGACAGATTTCTCAATGTTTAAGAACCAATTACTATCTAAAGAAAGTTTGTAGAATTGCCCTGCCTAGGGTATTTAAAATGAAGCCTGGAAGCTGTGATCCAAAGAACTGAAACTGCTTCAAGCTCTGTGATACTTGTGTCATTCCAAGAGCTCCCCTCACCACCTTGCTCAGCTACACCCGCAAACAAACCCAGATGGAGCCATAGGCCAGGAAGGAAAAGGGAGAGAGGAGGTTTATCTAGCCTACCAGAACAGAACTCTCTAAAGTCTTTCCACTCAAGAATTCACAATTCCCAGGGGTCAAAGGACATAACACTGACTTTCTGATACTTGGAAAAGAAAGTAGTAGAGACCTTACGATGGAACCCAGAAATAATTAACAATACTTGATTCTGAGCATTGGCTCCCAGCTAGAATCATAGAATTTTTTTTTTTTTTTTTTTTTTTTGGACAAGGTCTCACTCTGTCATCCAGGCTGGAGTGCAGTAGTGCCATCACAGCTCACTGCAGCCTCAACCTCCTAGGATCAAGCAATCCTCCCACCTCAGCCTCCCAAGTAGCTGGGACCACAGACATGCAAAACCATGCCTGGGTAATTTTTGTATTTTCTGTAAAGATGGGGTTTCACCATGCTTCCCAAGCTGGTTTTGAACTCCTGAGCTCAAGCAATCCACCTACCTCAGCCACACAAAGTGCTGGGATCACAAGCATGAGCCACCACACCTAGCCTAGAATCACAGAATTTTTAAATGGAAAGGGGGCATAGGGAATATCTGTTCTAGTATCTCCATTGTGTTATGTAGATGAAAAATCTGAAGTTCAGAATGGTGTACGTGAACCAATCATAGATATAGGATAGGTGTTTATCACTTCCAAATGACCAGGTACACTTCCTGACATACAATGAGCTCAAGTCATCTATGACTCTCAGGCAATCCTAGAATGGATAACAGAACTTTAAGAATGTAACAACTGCATGGTACACCGGTAAGAAAAAAAAAGTTAAAAAAAAAAAAAAAAGAAGAAGAAGAATATGTTCCTCTAGAATAACATCATCCAATGGAAATACAATGCAAGCCAAGTCATATATGTCATTTTTAATTTTCTATTATAGTAGCGATATTAGAAGGGTAAAAAAAGCCAGGCATGGTGGCACCTGCCTATCGCCCCAGCTGCTCAGCAGGCTGAGGAGGGTGGATCGCTTGAGTTCAGGAGTCTAAGGCTACAGTGTGCTATGACTGTGACTGGGAATAGCCACTGCACTCCAGCCTGAGATGTAGTATCTCTAAAAAAACTAAAACCTTTAAAACAGGTAAAAAGCAGCAAGTGAAATTAATGTATTAATGTTTCGTTTAACCCAATATACCTAAAATATCATTTCAACATCCATTTAAAAATTATTAATGAGATATTTTACTTTCTTACTATACTTCAAAATCCAACGTGTCTTGTACATTTCTTTCAGTTCAGACCAGACATATTCCAAATGGTCAACACATACAACAGATAGGTGCAACCAACTAGCAGTCGCTGCCTGAGCACTACGCTGGAAAGATTAAGAGGCTAACACCAAGTTTAGTGAAAAAGACTACCTTGATCAATTAAGCCATGCCTGCCAAAACCCTGGGTTAGGATAGGGGGTAGGGTGAAAATCTGTGCAGGAAGGGAAAGGAAGAGAAGAGAATTCTGATGGAAATGTCCACAGGCTGTTGAACATGATGACTTGTAGAATCACACGTTTGGAAGACATCTGGAACAACAACGAAGCCATAAAAATATGAATTGGAAAGTGCAGATCTAAAATTCAAAGGTACAGACAAAAGAACTGCAAGCACTTGGGTACTGGAAGTTTTCTCTAAAAGTGTAGGAAAGATAAAGACACTAAAAAATATTTTTTGTTGATTAATACAATATCCGTCTCTTTCTTAAAATCTCTCTGACCTGTCTTCATATGACATAATCATAGGCATTAAAACAAATAAAAAATAAAGCAGTTTTTCTGACTTCCATAATTCATCTCCATCTATAGCACCAAGTTTCAGTTTTATGCACTT